GTTTGTCATCCGTGTGCAGCAGGCTCCTGATGTTTGCAGTTTTCATGTTCATCTCAGATTCTGTTGTCACTTGATCCGTTGGATTTTAGATCCAGGCTGTATTGGGCAATGTTTTGTGCATGTCTGCTTTCCATCAGGAGCATAATCCTGGATAATGTGGGGTCTACATATTATCATTTCGGTTCCCTGCTTACCTTCAGAACTCCTTTAATATATTAATTCTTCCTTTCAGTATTGAAACTTAATTTTATTTGCAGACTTTTAGTGATGAATGTTTGGACTTTGAACACCTTTGAGTCAGCAGTGCCACCGAGGAGGCACACATCTGCTCTGTCCCTAGTAAATACAGACTAAACTTTCTTCCCCAGAGTAACTTGTGCACAAGTTCTTCATTATGCTCTTTGGGTGATGAAGCTCTGGGCTTAGAGGTACTTTGATGCCTAACAGCTGTTATAGTAGGGCTTAAATGCTTTTTTGGGGTGGGGATCCCCACTTCTGTGCAACTGGCAGTGAACTCTACAGAGGAAACTTAAGTGGCTAGTACCCAGAGTTGTGTTTCGTAACACTTGTCTGCCAAGATCTGCATGACAGAAATGATAATGTGTACATATGCATATATAACTATGTTTTACACAAAAGCAAATTTTAAATATACAACACTATAGCAATATTTGTCTTACACAAACCGCATAGAAACAGTACCCAGGAAAAAAAACCTGCCTCGGCTTTAGAAGCTGTTTCATAATCTGGTGGGTAGGATTAGGAAATTAAACAAGTTAAGCTGTTTCAAATGAAGAACATCTCTGCTTTAGCATTTAATGTTTTAGCTCTTCTGTTCAGTAACAATGGACAGGTAGTAGTGCACTTCTATTATGCGCCACTAACTTATCGCCTATGGGGTCTGAGTAATGGGAAATGTGGTTTTTTTTTTTTAGCTTCCTCTATCATCAGCCTTAATAATTCACAAATATTAACTGTATTTTTGTAATCTGTGCTTGCCCACGCAGCGATGTAATATTGTGTAGTATGTGTAATATTCCAGAGATTTTATTATTCATTCTTTTCTCCAGTGATATTTTAAACCAGCAGTGCTTTACTTTTGCTTCAGATGCTTGTTTTGAAATTCAGAAGGAGTAAAGATGTGTTTTATGTATGTATGAAAATATCCAAATAACTTAGCGTTGCTTTCTGGGCTGAGCTCTCCTAAAATGCAAGAAGAAATCAGTTTCATATTTCCGTGGAGGAAAACTGGAATCCCTGCAACTTTGAAAAATAAGTCTGTGAAAGATCAGGTGTTGCAGTGGTTGTTTCTGTTATGAAGCAATTTGGGGCAACTTTTACTTTATAAAATATGTCAGCGTCATTGAGCTTCATGGAGCTGGATTTTCATGGTTAGCGTCAGCTCAGTAGCAGAGAAGTAGAGGCAACATTACTGCTTTGTCATAAATCCAAAGGTGATGTCCTTCACGTTTGTCTTTCAGCATGAGATCTATCAATGCATCATGTGGTCTCGTTTTTCTCTTGGTGAACAGAAGGAATATTGGAGTAGACCTCTGCATAGACGTGGATTTAATAGCAGATGCTGCATGACATGACCGATGATGGATGCCTCTAGCTGAGGAAGCTTTAGAAGGAAGGCACTGTCTCAGATGTGGAGTCACCTCCCTATAACTTCGCTGTCCTTGGGGTCTCCTCCTTGCATAATCCAGAACAATAACTGGAGGCAAGGGGGTCCTCTTTTGCTACTTCCAGCCTAATATGTTTATACTGTGGGCACAGGCATGACTGCAACCTGTGAAGATGTCACCTTCAAACTAGTATTGACAGTGGTGTAACTGCAGCACGTGGCATTCACTGTCAACTGCAAGACCTGCTCTAGTGGTTTGCTAGAGCTGAGCTTTACGTTGCCTTGCCTAGTTGCTAGCAGTAACCTACTAGTTAGCTTAAAATTAGCTTGTGTAAATATACTTGAAAATTTCTTAGACATACTGTTAAGGATTTTGCTTCCTCTGTTCCCTGACGTGTGGTGTGCAAGTGCAGGCAATAAGAGGGTTGGACAGCAGAGAGGGTAGAGGGTGCAGAGTTCTGGGAGTCATCATGCTGGTATCATGGGAAGCCGGAACCCAAAATACAAGAACTTGAAGTGTTCCTTGATGGTGCAACTGCTGGCATATGGCCCCTAGGCTCTGGTGGCTCACGTTACAGCTCTGACTGCTGTGTTTATGTCAGGAAAACTTACTCAGGAGTAGCCGATGCCTGTGTCCTTGCTGCGGCAGCTCAGTTGCTTGACAGACAGACAGGAATCCCTGTGAGCGGTGGTTCTGGGGATATGACCACTGGGGTGAGGAGAGGGGAGGTAAGAGGAAGCTACTGCAATTCCCTGGAACGGTGCACTCCTCCTTCTTCTCTGGGTGCTTTCGAGTTTAATCGTCATCTCTTACACGACCAGATTTCCTCAAATTGTCCCTTCTACACTCGTGAAAACCTGTGTTCATTGGGTGACACCCTTTTCTTGCACAAGCTGTATTATGTTAGAAACACTTCTGTGTATTGATAACCTATCAAAGTTCTGCAAAATCTTGGAGCTTGAGGAGGGCACAGTATATGTAAATCCACAAAATGCTGGTAGCACAGCACAGATTACAGATGCGATCTGAAATGTTGGTCATTGCCAAGGGAGAAGAGGGCTTCTGCCAAACATCCCAGAAGGAGAATGAGCCAGGCTATGGGATGGCTAGCACAGTTGGTGCTGATACTGCTGCAGAAGCAGCTACGTTATTTCATGTGTCAGATACCCAAGGATGTTTTGCCACACATCTATCATATTGTGGAGCTTGCAAAAGGAGCACTTGGTGCTGGATTTGAAATGTATTACTTTCGCTTTAAGGAAATGCATCAATATAAGCTTGCATGTTCCCCAGTGCGGACAGGAATAATGCAGAAGAATGGTGACTTTGCCAGGCGCTTGCTGTTAACGTGTAGGAAGCAGTTTGTCAGCAAGGATTAAAAATGCAATTGAGGACTAGTGCTGTAAAAAGGTTTAATCCAGCAGCTCTGTGTTCAGTTTTCTCCAGAAATAGCCTACCTAATGTGTTTTATCAGGGCATACCCTTCACAAAATAGTCCCCTTGGAAATGGAAGAAGAAATGCTAAAATGGTGAATGCTTTTTTGTGTGAAGTGCCCAAAGATGGTGAGCCTTAACAGGCAGGTTGTGTATTTCAGAAGTCCACTGATGGACATGTATTTTTTTTTATTACAGGAATATTTAATTGAGTCTCTTATTAGACTTCAGATTCAGATAGATAAAATGTGTTTAAAGGCTGAAAATGGAATCCTTTTCTGTTGTCACATGTGTCAAGGGCAATTGAGCATTTTTCAGTAAAAATAATGAATTAGTCCTTTTCTAAATAGCAGGTACTCCAGAAGAATTACATTGCGACATAAAAAGTTGATTTGAGCTATAGGGCAGGCTTACTTCAGTCCACATGGAGATGAATTTTCTCTGATTCTTTGCTCGAATGGCCCAGAGGGGTAGGAGGAGAAAGGTTGAGCAGGACGTTAACTCTTGGGAAATTATCTAGATGTGTGCATTAGGATCAGTGTGTTTCTTTCTCTTGTTGCTGGTATTTAAGGGTATCTTAAGAGAAAATCCATTCTGACTTGCTTTTGGCAATAGATTGACACTGACAAATAGTTTCTGTTGCACTGCCTGCGAACTTGTATCTGACAAAGAAAATAGTTGTGCTTTAATTCTAAAGATAACATCCTGGTGGGTCAAATTTAGCTTTTCTCCAAATTAATTTTTTTCAGTCTATAGCTAATGATAGAAACATCTTGCCTTTTCCATCCTTTTCTCCACTTCTAGAGGCATTTTGAGCCCAATTTTCATCTTTCAACCATTGTTTTGTGGAATAATTCAGCAGAAGCAAATGGGGTTAGGGATGTATATGTTAGGGTGCATACGCTACATGCTGCCTCATAATGAGGATGGGGTAGCCTGGGCTGAGAGTGATGGTATTTGGTTATTTTAGCTGCTCATTCATGAGTAATAGTGGAGGGAAAAAATTGAACAGGTACTCTTGAAATAGGATTGCTCCTTTGACTTTAGAAAAACAAAGGGAGGGGGGGAGGACACCCCTACAAAATTTGTTGCAGTGATTTTTTTAATAGTGATAGGCTGGAACTGACTGTTTAACTTATTTTTCTTCTGTTTGTTGCTGATCTGTGATGTTTCCTGTGGAGTAGGAAATATTTGCATCGTGTTATTTCTTTTGAGAAGTTTTACAGAGAGGTTCTGTGGGGTTGGATAGCAGCTGGCTGAGAATTAAACATTCCTGTGGACTTTTCAGTGCTGCCCTGTACTGCGTTGTTTGAAGTATGTATATCCGGAATGGATGTGCTCAATTTTCAGTTTTCTGAGTAATGTCAGGGAAGAAGAAAGGTAACATCTTTATTCTACTCTCTTTTCCCCACGTAGTCTCTATAACCCAGCCCAGCATTCTGAGATAGAGTTACCCAGGGCTGTAGTGGAACTGATCTGTCTCTAGGCTGCTTTGCCATACCAGCTTTCAGAATATCCCAGTGTCTTGTTACTTGGCAAGAAATGCCTTCCAGTGAATGCTTTGATACCTGCTGGCTTGTGGAAGGGTTTGGGGAAGTTGCCTGAACACCAGGATTCACTAGCAAGTTGACAGCATTTGCCTTGCAGGCATTTTCGTGAGGAATTTTAAAGTATTTTTCATAGGTATGCTAGAAAAGGTAAGGTATATTATACTCACAAAATACAGAGATTTTGGGTACAAATACCTGTGACACAGAAGCATTTGGAGAAACCTTGAAGAAAGAGAGGAGCTTGTCAGTGCCAGTGGGCTATTCTCTTGGAGTATGTCAGTACTCATGAGACCTGTTCTGTGGATTTACAGAAGTTTTGAGGCTTGGCTTAGTAAAGGAAAAATAGAATTTTATTTGACAATTTTTTTCCTCTCATTCTTTCTCATAGCCTATGCAAGCAGCAAGATGTCCCACTGATGAACTGTCGTTAACCAACTGTGCTGTGGTGAATGAGAAGGACTTCCAGTCTGGACAGTAAGTGTGCAGTGCTGCTCTTTCAACTTTTAACCAAAAAAGAATTGTTTTCAAAATTTGGATGGAGGTGGAACAAAATTTCAGATTTAGGAAAGTGAATACAGTAGGTTAATTAACAAAGCTTCTGCGTATTTAGAGACCAAAACTTTAAATGTGCCTCCTTCTCAGAACTGGAAATACTAAAAAAAGGGTAAATTTTTGTCTGAAGCATTTTTTCCTTGGGAACTGGATCTGCTTAACTAATTACAATCACTATTTTAATGGAAGACTTCAGGCCTTTTTTGACCTTTTTTTGTTTTGTTTTCGCTGTTGTTCCTGTTTCATAGTTAGAATATTTGAACTATTTCAAGTAGATTTTTATCATTTAACTGTGTTACTAGGGGCATCTTCTCACTTCTCATATTGTGTTGGAGTGCTGAGCAGAGTCAGTAGAAACTCACTTGTTCTGGGGGTTTTCATGCACTAGAACAAAAGGAGAAGGCAACCAGAGTGTGGGCACAACAATTTGGATTCTTTAATTACAGTTCTAGAGTGACTGATAGAAGCTGACTCTGGGTTTTACTTTTGTGAAAAGGGTAGAAAACACATTAATTTTTCAGCTCAGACCACGCAGAAAGGCTTTGTATTAAAAGAAGCCAGTTCAAATAATTCGTTTCCTTGCTTTGCTGCATCTGTACGGTCGCTCTCTTGAAGATTTCAGTAGGTGGGTTCGAGACAGAAGTGATTAATTTCAGCAGAAAGAGAGAGTATCACATGCAGCAGAAGGCAGAAGAGCTTGAGTTTGAAAAATGGGAAAAGATACTGAATGATACACTTAGGACTTTAGCATAAAATACTTGGCCCAGATGAATTCTACCAAGGATGGAGAATGAAGTGGCTCTGAACTGCGGGGAACAAGGAGGCGATGTGTTTTAAGACTTGCCTCTTTTTGTGCTGTCAGTCTGCTGTGCTGCTACCCTGGAGAGCTGTCCTGGCCCTTTAGTGATTAACTGAACTGTGATTTCACAAGCCCAACTTCAGTGTAAAATGCCAAAGCAAAACAAAAACACCCTTCCTAAAGAAAAAAACCAACAACAAATGAACAGAACTTTTAGAGTCAGAGGCAGGCAAACATATCTACTTGGACAGGATAGTTTCCTGCTCTCTTCAAATGATGTTTTTCCCCAGGTAGATTTTTTTTTATAAGTAATTGACTTACAAAAATACCTGAACTGAGCATTATACCTCATGCATTATAAAAATGTTAATTTCCTAAAATATGAATGTCCTGGAGGGACCCAGCTTCCAGACCTGCAGTGGCTGGTTGCTTTCCTTTCACTCTGAGAACCCTCTTGCATCGTGTTTGAGGAAGCATACGGGAAGCAATGTCCCGAGACTTGCTTGGTAAGCAGACTGCCCATGATTCTGGCTGTACTGATTCTCCCCAAGAGAGCTGCTTATTTCTAGAAATTGGGGCTCATAAAGAAAGTAACGTATGTTTGGTTGTGAGCAGATGCTATAAATGGCTTTGAAAAATGTAAGACTAGAATACAGAGAAACATCATGATATTCAGCTGCTACTAAAGGACGTAGTCATTCTGCTGCATTGCAGATATGCTGAGCAAGATCATCCTTATGATCTGCTGCAATAAGTTGCACGCAGTCAGCCGGTTTGGTTTCTATCATCCTAACCATGACTGGCTGCACAGAATATATTTCGGTAAGTTACACAAAGGGCTTTGCTTTAACGCTTCCATTTGGTGCTCACGGCGTACAACTGGGAGTTTGACCTTGGATCATTGAGATCGTTTATCCCCAGGATGCTACTGTAGATCTTTTCATGCTTCATTTTCCGTGTCCTGTAAGTTGGACAAGTATGAGTCACCATTTTGTGATGCACGAGTTCATGGGATGTAATGCATTATTATAGTACTGTGTTCGTTTGAGAAGTTGCACCTTCTTAAGTTCCTGTGACATACTTCTATCTTGAGGGCTCCCAATGTATTTTGAGAGAGAAACAAGTGCTGAAAACACCCAGGCAGTGAGAGGGGCAGCAGTCTGGGAGGAAGCCAGGGCAGGTTCTCTCAATGGTGATTTTTTTTTTTTCTGTGTTGAGAACCTACTAATCATTCTTACTTTTTATTCCTGCCTTTTACATGAGAAGACCATCCCTCTTATCTCATGCCAATTTAATTATCTGAAGAGCCCTTGAGGAGCCTTGCTGAATAATTTACATGGGTTTCCAAACATACACAAGAGGAATATCTGCCCATATTGTTCAGATACTTACTGGCACCTTTACATAGATACGTAAGTTATCCTCGCCCTTACAAAAGCTATACTCTTTCTTCACTGACATAAAAACTAATGGACACACAGGTTAATATTATCTATCATAGTTTCTGTTGGTTTGCTCAGCCTGGCCTGCAGACTTACCAGCAGTTTCCTGGGCCCAGTCTGGAGTCCTTCTTAAGAACTGGCATCACAGCCATGTTTTGGTTGTAATAGTTTTAGGCAAGGCTTTACACATGAATTACAGCAGCGGTTTCTGGCCCTGATGACTCATTGTTCCTTTTGTTTGTTTATAAGTAGAAGCTGTTAATGAGGTTGAGATTTCCCCCATGTGTCTCCATGAGCTCTCCAACCTCCTTCCTGGTGAACATCAATGTAGGAAAAGGCATTTAGTTTTTCCTGCTGTTTCCTTATTTTGAACATTCTTAATACTTAGGTTGCTTACAGCCTGTTGGAAACTGCCTGCTCCTGCTGTCTTTGAGAACGAATGTGATTGTTCCTGTGCCTTTTGGAGATTTTTCTCAAAGAACCTGTCAGGATTTGACCCTTCCTAATCTTTTTACATGGCTAGAGATTTCTTTCAGAAAGCTGATTAATTTTTTTCTGTTTGTTTGTTTTTTCTTTTTTGCTTCATGGCATCTATTTGCCTACTATTAGGCTCTGATAGCTTTCTGGTTTACTGGAAATATTTTTGGTGAATGGTATGCTCCATTACAGTAATTTTGATTTGTATCAAACTTTTGTGGATACCCCCACCCCACCAGTATTTTTACCAGGTATCCTCATTTTCCTGCATTTTGCTTTTTTGAAGTGAAACCCAACAGTGGTGGAGTTTGTTTATTTCTGCAGAGATACTGAGTCTATACATGTTAAAGCCACCCTAGTGTTTTGGGCCAAACTTAGTGCACTGCTTAGGATCCATGTTGGTCTTAAGAAGCTTTAATCTTGAGTCTTTTACTGTCTGATGAGCTGCTTCTAGTAGGGTATTATTTGTCATCAAATGTATTTCTTGGTGAGATATTCCAGTAGCATAGCTGGAACTTGTATTTTATCTACAGGCATGTTTGTCTAACACTCTGCAAAGTAATACCTTGCTTTCCAGTTGGTTGTGTATTGATATTAATTTGAATTACTCAGGCTGATGCACTGTGTGCTGGAAACCTCCTGATTTCAGTCCCGACTTCCTGGACAGCTTCTCTATTTTATCTACTCCTCAATTTAAAATGAAACAATCCTTGGAGCGACATTCGATCTACGAAGGATCATCTCCCCTGACCTGCTGGCAGCGCTCTTCCTAATGCAGCCAGAGATGTTGCTGGCCACCTTTGCTGCAAGGGCGTATTGCTGGCTCATGTTCAACTCATTGTCCACCAGGATCCCAGGTCTTTTTCTGCAAAGCCAGTTGGCTCCCGGCCTGTACTGGTCTTTCCACCCTGTCAAAGTCCCTCTGAATGGCAGCACAATCAGCAGGTGTGTTATCTGCAGACTGGCTAAAGATGCACTCCATCCCATCATCCCGATCATCAGTGAAGAATTTTTGGCCCCATATGGATGCCTGGGGTAGGTACACCCCTAGTGGACTGGCTGAAGCTGGACTTCATGCTGCTGATCACAACGTGCTGAGCCCAGCAGTTCAGGCAGTTTTCAGTCCACCACACTGCCTGCTTACCTAGTCTGTATTTCATCCGTTTGTCTGTAAGGGTTGTTGTGCAAGACCATGTAGAAAGTGTTGCTAATGTTGAGATAAACAATATCCACAGCTCTCCCTTCATCCTCAGAGCTCACTATTTCATCATAGAAAGCTATCATATTTTGGTCAGGCCTGATTTTCCCTTGTAAGTCCATGCTGACTATTCCCAGTCATTTTCTTGTCCTTTAATATGTTTGACTTCCAGGATTAGTTGCTCCATCACTTTCCTAGGGACTAAGGTGAGGCTGACCAGCCTGTAGTCCCTTGGATCCTCCTTCTTGAAGACAGGAGTGACATCTGCTTTCTCCCAGTCCTCAGAAACCTTCGCTGATCATCATGAAGCACCAGTAAATGTCTTGCTCTCCCTCTGTAAGATTTATAGGGAACCATAGCACCTATAATGGGTTTCTGGATTTACGCCTGGGGCAGGAGGAGATGGAAAAGGAAGGGTGTGCATCCCTGCAGCTGGGGTTTTAGGCAGCTAATGGGTGATTTAGGGCCAGGGCCAGTGAAGAGTCAAATCACTGGTCCACTTGACAGAAGTGTTCTTCCTTACCCTGCTATGCCATCAAGCACTAGCAGTCCCTGGAAAGGTTTTGCCAGCTTCCCTGTCTATTTGGGCTAAAGCTAGTGATGTCTAGTGTTTTTTGGCTAGGCAGGCCAGACGTTTCCTGTAGTCTCAAAGGGCCATACATTCTGTTCTACCATGTGACCGAAGCTGTTATGCATACATGATGTAGCCAATGTATACATGTGCAGCAGATCTGCTTTTGGATGGTGCTGTATTCACTGTGCATATGCAAATGAAAGTATATGGAGCATATGTGCATGTAATACATTCAGTGCCAGGGAGGGAGGATGGCCAGGAGCGTGGGCCTTGGCTGTTAGCGTAGTTCATCTAGCCCTTACTTTCTGACCATGGATAGGAGGGCTGGTGAGAGGGGAACAGTACAGGAGTTGGTGGCCTCATATACCCTGTGGGTAGTTAAAGTATGTGCAGTTGTGGAGAAGAAGATGAGATGAAACCTGATTCTACCATCCCCCCTGCCACTGGTACACACAAATCCCATCTTCCTTTTGTTTTGGTTTCTTATGCCAAAAAGAACTCTGCCTATCACAATGTAAGAACTATCAGGCATAGTCTGAAGGTAAGTATAAGCAGCTTTTGAGTATCTTTGTTCCTGACAGCTTCGCTTCTGAGAGTGACAGCCAGGCACATGCACTTGGTGCTGCTGTGTCTGCTCCTGACTGTATTGTTCTGTTTTTGTAACAGTGATTATAAATGGTCTTCAAATGCTGTCTGAGTTCAAGATCTATTGGTCATCGGCAAACAGGAGGAACAGCCTCAGCACCTACGTGATTTTTCTTTTTCTACAGAAATTCCTTCCATTTTTTTTTTTCTGCCATCAAACTTCTAAACAATATACTGAGATCCTTGTATAGGCTTTGCATCAATTTGTTGTTGAAATCACAGTTGGGGGTTACTGCTTGTATTGGGGTAAAATATTGATGCTTTGCTGTTAGATGCTTGAGATGTGAAACTGGTGTTGATTTTTAGATGTAGTAACCTTGGCCTTTGTGGTTATAATTTGGTTCTCACATTTGTATAGTGCAATTCCTGAAGTAAAAGGCTGCTGGTGGGGGAATGTAAGTAGTAATTATTAGTACAATGTCTTGTAGCTGGGCTTTGAGATCACGTTATATCACTGAAGGTGATGGACTGCTGTGAAAGACTGCTGTGTGCCTACATCATGGTGTAGGTCTAAACCTATTATTTTTCCCTTTATAGGACCAGATCTAAGCTGGCTTGTTTCTTTGAATTCTCACAGCACTGAGAGCAATGCAAAATCCTCCCAGGTATATATTGAAGCAAAATACTGTTCTCTCTTCTAGGCATGTCGCTGTGAAGACTTCTCCCAGCCACAAATACATTTTCACGCTGAGAACCCATTCCTCAGTTGTTCCTGGCAGCATCGCATTCAGCTTGCCACAGGTACTATATGGTTTGACTTACCATTTTGCTGTAGAATAAGCAATATCTCTTTTGAGATCAGGATTGAAGGTAACTTCTAATTGGAGGGAGATGTCTGCATAAGTGTATGCTGCAAATTTGATTTCTGACAGCAAAAGTTCAAGGAGACTTTTATTATAACTGAAGCAAACTTGCTTATATTACTTTGATCTATTTTTAGTGCATGGTGGGATAAAGATACCAGAAAAGGTGTAATTTAACCTTTTAAAAACCCACCAGAGACAAACTGTTTAAAAAAGAAAAGCCTAAGCAAAGTCTGCTATTCCTTGTGAATTTTTATTGTTCCCTGGTTTCCCTTGGCTTTAAAGGGTTTTCTTTGCTGTATTGCTCTTTTAAAGACCTGCCAGAGGTTTTATTGACTGTATTCAGTAATTGTTAGTATTTTTAGATGAAAAGAGCAATGAAATGCATAGAATAGATTTAACTTGTCTTCTCTTTCTTAATTAAGTCAAGTTATCACATGTTAAATGATGGTTAGAATAAATAATTAATACAATTAACTTCTAAATAGAAAAATGAACCTTGTAGCCTTTAACTGTCTTACACAGTGAGTCGTATAACATAAAACTGCAACAATCATGATCACTGACTTAATACTTTCATATTTTCCTGCTAGTAGCTGGTTTAGAAGCTGAGTCTCTGTGCTGTGAACACAAGACTTTTTTTCCTCAACAGATGCCTTGGCATAGGCCCTGAAATGACTTTTTGCTTTTTGACATGTTGTTCAAATTCAGATTTGTCCAGATGAGTGGGTGAAGAGGATGTTATGTTAACCATATGTCTAGCTGTGATTTGTGATGTCCAAACTGAAAAGCAGTTATCAGTAGAAGATATTTGTATCACAGGGTTAAAGTAGATGCATACACGGTGTAGGGTTGATTTTTGTAGATTCCAGTAGTGGTTGTAGAGCTGGGAGAGCTCTTCTGCTAAGGAATAAGGTGGACTGCTTACCTCTGAAAAGTGACTATGGTAGTAAGTGTTACAGCTACTGGTAGATGAATATTTTACTTGAGTATTCCTGATGCTGGGTTTTAATTTCCAGTATTTCCTGAAGCCTTGGATAATTGCAACCAGTGTTACACAAAATGTGTGTTTACGTTTTGTATTCATGGATGGTCATGTACTGGACATGGGCTCTAAGACCTCCAAAAAAGTCTGTTTGTTGTGCATTCATTATGCACATAAAGTTCTTGACCACCTTTACTCTGTAATAATCTTAAGTCTTAGGCTTAAAAACCAAAAGCCGTGAAAAACTTTGTATACTGCAGAGCCCAAAAGATGAAGAGCCATGCAGTGATGACAAACTTCTTAGCAGAAAACACCCAAATGAACACAGGAATTGAGCTACATCTCTTACTACAGAGAAGATCCTAACTAATCTTTCTAGCAGAACTTGGATAGCTTTCCTTCCTGTCCTGAAATTTGGTGATAGGCTTAACCTGAAGGGTTTAAACAAAGCCTAGTGTTTGCAGGAGTGCCAGTGTGCCTGCCCACCATTCTTGCACTTGTGGCCACCAGTATCTGGTTCTTCAGGTGACAGTGAGTTTAGGATATCTTTTGCTGAAGAATTGGAGTGTCAAGGGGAGGGGGAGAATTCTTCCTGGCCTTGCAGGTAAATGGTGGAAGCTGTGAAGCATGAGATTAAATATGGAAACATTTGTTTTCACCTTCTTGGGAATGCCAGTAAGTACACGTAAGACTTACTGCTCTGAGCTTTGATTTCTAAGAGGTTGATCTGTGTTATGCCAAGGGAATTCTTTCCTTAAACTTGAACCATGATCATACTGGAGAGGGTGTATAGGGGGAAATTTTCATTTTTTAAAAAAGGTTGTTGTATTCCTTCTCCCAGACTCGTTCCTTCCAGATAGAAAGCCAAACATAAATGAACATAAAGTACAACATTTCAGATGTGATCTTACCAGATCCTTGTGTAATGATACTTAGATATTTTTGTGATTCTTACCTCTCTATGGTTTAGATATTTGAGAGGCCATGAAAACTACATAGCCTGAGGTGTGGACTGTAAATACACACTAGCCGATATGTAACATAAGAGCCACTGGAAAAGTACCATCTTTGCAATTATCAACCCAGAACTTTTGCCATAGTAAAGCTCATAGATTTTCATGTTACGTAATCATTGAACCATTTCCCACTTCTAATGCAGTTCTATTCTGCACAAATTTTTTTAAAGGAATTTGAAGGGACCTAAAGATTTTGAACAGTTTTGTTCTTACTAGTTCTCTCAACAAGTTTTGATTTAGGTAATATTCTACCTTAAAGCACATTACAATAATTTCCTACAACTAGTATATACATGTAGGCTTTTAAAATGATCACAGAGTGTGTAATAGCGTTTCTTGCCTCTTGCACTACCTGTTGTGTGATCAACACCTGAGCTTTGGTGGGGAACTAGCAGAATGACAAGAAGCCCTATGCAGTATGATAATTTATGCCTCCAAGACTGTGGGGTGATGAATAACATGAAGGAGGTTGGACAGAACAATCTCCTGAGGTCAGAAAATAGAATTATTAATAGAAATTACTTGTTTCCTGTTAATTTGGTGGTCTTTGTAAGATCCCATTCTGCCCTTTTTTGCTACTTCTGAAGGCTTTTGTGGGAGAGCTTGGTTTTCTGAGTGAGGATGCTGACTTTGAGTGGGCATTTGTTCTACCAAAGGACAGCCTTTCTGAAATTTTTTGTCTTGTTTTTACAGAGAAAATGGGCTGGACTTTCCATTGGACAAGAGATAGATGGTAAGTCAGTCAGCAGCATGATCGTGGTGTAATTTATAAAAGCTGAATTCCGTGTTTCCACACTGAAGTGAAACTGAATTGGAAAATCTCAGATCTTCAGCCTTTCTTCAGTTAATGTGAGGCCATCCTTAGTGAAAGGGAGTTGCTTTTGTATCTGCAGGTTTTCTGTCTCTTAACATTTTCAAAACCTGGAGAACTATTTTGACTGTTATCTTCAGACATCTGCTAGTATATCAGCATAGCTCTGTATGAGACATCAGTGTCCACATGCAGATGTGACTATTTAACATGTCCTGGATAGTCTGTTCTTGTGGCTTTGGAGAACACTTATTAGCTAACAGAAAAGAGCCGTAGTCTTTGAGAATGTTCTTGGCATCTAAATTTGAATATTGAGAACGGGGAAGTTTTCATGCTAAGAGTTGCCAAAAGCCAGCAGTGTGCTCTGGATAGCTGGAGTGATGAGCTTTGTGAGTAGCACTGATGTTTTCATCAATAACTGACTAGAATGTTCCGCAGTATGATGAAAGGGAAAGGGATGCCATCTTGAGTTTGTGCAAATTGAGGGTTTGTCTTCTAATTTCAAGTCTTAATTGAGCCTGACAAACCTTTACCAGTGTTCAAAGAGGAGTCTGATTTGCGCGTCTCAGCTTGCATGCTGTAGCTTTCATTTATTCTTGCTGTCTGTCACTGTTACCTCTGATTTGTGAACAGTTGGCAGCACTGTCAGTTATAAGTGCTACTGTTTAATCTGTGTATAGCTTCTGGAGTATTGACCAAACTCCTGGCAGCAGCTTCTTATAGGAGGGTCTCCATGTTCTTTGCCACAGCAGATCAGGGTAATGGATAATGTCTGTTCTTTTGACCAGCAGAAATTACCTGTGTGCTCCTGGGGGCAATCATCTCATCCTTTTCTTTGACACAGTTGCTGTGATGAAGTCTGCTCTAATGCTTGGCTGACTTACAGTCACTGAGGTGGAGCAAACTGTTTGTTAGGCCACTCTTGCCATTTGAGGAGTTTACAGCAATTCCAGGGAATTCTTCTCTCATTTGAGGTTTGTGGGCAGAGCTGATGGCTGCATCCTGTGTCAAAAAGTGAGGAGGAACTAGACTGAGAAGTGGTACAGCTGTGGATGTGAGGTACTGTTACGGAAGATTGCTCCTTGGCTGTTTGTTTTCCCAGCTCCTTTGGTCTCAGCAAGTCCATTGGCATGGATCAGTACTCGAGTGTGAAGTCCAAGTCTTTGTGGATCTCTTTTTGTAGTGACAAGCTAGTGTGGGTCTGTTTGCCTCTCTATACAGCTAGCAGCTTGACGGATCTTGCTTGGAAGCCAGTTCTTGCTGGCTGATTTTATTTTGTTTTTTAAACTGAAGAGTAACCTATAATGAGGAGGGGAGATCCATAAATTAATTTGTTTCTCACCCTTTGGTTGCTGATCAGTAACATGTGCCAACTGGCTTTCAGATAAATGCTTTTTAGTACTAAAGTTACCTGGGGAAAGAAACACTAATATTCAGCATGATTAGCTGCTAGAGCAGATTTGTGATTGTACTTGTACTAGACCTTGCTATAAACTTACCAACTATGTGGGAACATGTATTAAGAAAAATAATGCAGTGATTTTATGCAGAGTGACTAAATGTCATATGACTCCCTGTTGAATATAAAGGATGTGTAAAGCTATTCTGCAGGTAGGGAGAAGTATTCATAAAACTAGAGATCTACCAGGACTCTCTTTCTGTCTTGTTCCCCTGATAAAGTGAAAACTATGTTTTAAATGTCAGTTTTAAAAGCGGTCCACTGCTTAGTAGTAGAGTGAAGCTGAGTCCCATTGAGCCCCAAATGACGTGGCAAAGGTTTTCTGGATGAGAAAATCTTGTAAATTTGCCTTTGTGGAAGAGTTGAGTGCCTTGAATGGATGCAGTTATCTTGCCTTGGTTCAGCTTCATCAGCTCCCATGTTACAGTCGGAGATGTGGACTTGGAACCGGGGGCTGGCTGCTTCAGCTGCATTCTCGGCACCAGGAGGTCACTGCTGCCTTCTCAGACTGCCTCTCTGTTTCTAGGACATTACAGGCTTCTGAAGGTGATGCTGTATATTGCTTACTGGACTGCATCCCCAGTGGTGCATTACTCTTCTCCTCTGTACCAGCCATCCCCAGCATTCAGTCCTTGATGTAAGAACTACTCACATTCACTTGACACCACGGTTCTGTCCTGTGACCAGATTCAAGGACTGATATTCTTTTGTTTGACAAAGCCCTGAGATAAGGCAAGTAAAAGGAAATAACTGCCCTGAAGTGACCTGCAAGGTAAAAAGAACTCCTGTTGTGCCCCTGCAGGACCAAAGCCCCTCCTTTATTAGCTATGGCTTATTTGATAACCCTGCTGTCATATCCCTTTTTGAAAGAACTAGTTGATATAGTAGATACACCTCAATTCGGGAAGTGGTTTAGTGTTTCATCTTTATCTCTATTTCCTGGAAGATCTTTTTTTGACAGCTCGTTTATAGGTGGCCTATTCCTATACCAAGAAAGATGTTAAATGTGCATGCTGGGATGACCTGTGTGTCTGCTGGTAACAACTCAAGCAAGAGACAGACTCTCTTTATTCTCATGAATGAATCGTGTGTCATAACATGCTAGATGCTTGTTTTGATGCCACATCTTCCCAGGAATCTGAAGGTTTATTCTAGAACCATTCTACAGTCAAGAGGCTTGTTAGGAAATTGTAGGTTATATGTGAAGTACGTTTCCCTTATTCACCTCCTACTGCTTTATCCTTAGCTGTGACTTCTGTATCAGATGAGACTTTCTTCTCTAGATTCCAAGCAAACCTATAATGTTCCTCAGTCTCCTGGAGAAACATCCACTTCTGTCCTTTGCTGCAGTCTGGTTTGTGAATTATTGGGACTATCTGCTTTGTGAGATCCTGTCCCTCTGATCAGTTGTGCTGACGCAGTATCTCTGATGTTGTGGACTGTGCTCTTCTTTCCTTTCTGTCCTCTTTCTTCCAGTGGCAACAGCCTTAAGTGGCATCTTGTTTTTGACATGGTGTAACTTGGGACCTATGTGGATTAGGTGCCGTTGGCAATGATTGTGAAGTACCTTCCATCCCACTTTGCTTTCTGCCTCCTTTCAAGGGCTGCTCAGTTGATTCTGCCTTACTGAAGGTAACCTGGGGCATGTTAGGATAGGCCCAAGTGCACCTCTGGGGTAAGGACTATTTCCTCTGTGTCCGAGACAAAGGGTAGTTGATGCTTCCTTCTGGGCTGTAGAAGCCTGATAGATTATATTACTGCACTTGAATTTGCAGGTAATCTAACTTTCTGCTACCTAAGCTGGAGAAGAGCTAGTCAATCTGTTGCTACAGAAAACCAGTTATGACCTCTTGTCATTGCTTTTTTTGGGCAAGACTACTCTTAATGCTTCCTTTTGGGCTTTCAGAAGACATGTCATCCAAACCTGTAGATGTAGCTATCATGGTACCTACAGCATGTGTGAATTTGCTTTCATTGTCCTCATCCCCCAAAGCTTGTATGATGTTTGAGCTGCTTTAAAGGAGACTATTATATAGTTTTTAAAGAAATGCATGAATTTTCAGTGGAGATACATTTGCTGTAGTTTTGAGCTTGTAGTAGAACATGGTTGTAAGGGAAATAAGGGTCTCTATCAGAAGTAATATGTTCAATTTTATTAAGTACTCATTCTGAATGGAAGAATATGTATTGCCAAACTTGCAGTATGTTTAATACATTGTGGGGGACGTTGCTGTTCTGAAATGTGCCGTGTTTTTTTTTTTTTAACAGTTTCCTTGTACGCTTTTGACAAGGCTAAGCAGTGTATTGGCACAATGACAATTGAGATCGATTTTCTGCAGAAGAAGAGCATTGACTCCAACCCCTACGACACAGACAAGATGGCTGCTGAATTCATCCAGCAGTTCAACAGCCAAGCCTTCTCAGTAGGCCAGCAGGTGTGGGTTTTGTTTTGATTTTTAAGGCTAAAATGTTCTTAAGTAACAGGCGCATGCTGGTACTGCAGCAATGTAAAATACTGAAGAATGCCTAGGTACCAACTGTGCTGCAAAGGACAGCTAATAGGTGGAAATTGTTTATTGTGTGAATGGTTTCTTTATTAAAAGTTAAACCATCATGACTTTCACTGAGAGCATGAGCAGAGTGGTTTAAAATCTGCCTTTTCCTTCTTTAAAGAAGTCTGTCTGTCTTTGTGAGGAAAATTGCAAGGCTTGAGAGAGCTGGGTTCTCTCTCTGTTGTGACCTGGTTGGATATAAGTATGGCAGCTCCTGGAATCTTTTGAGAAGTAACTTTTGTCTTCCTTCTATGTAATATCAAAAAGAACACTAGTTTAAATTAATTCTCAGTAGCATCTTTCAAGTGCAGTGTGTTTTATTGTAACATTTATTGCTACTTTATGGACTCCAGTAGTAAAATAGGTATGAAGCATTTGACTTAAGGATTTCTGAAAGCCGATGACCTTATAATTGAGCCTTCTCAGCTCTGCAGAAGATGGGCTTCTGTCCCTGTGAACATCTGTGGTAGCCTCTGGTTTGCCATATTCTCAGGACAGGTTGAGGTCTGTCTGTCATAGTAGTTCACAACTTGCAGGGTCTAAATCTTAAGTTGGTTGCAGATGTAATCTTGGAGGAAAGGAATTGTGCAGAGACAGCCTGCTTTTCTATGAGATGGATGCTACTTCTTGTAATATTCATTTTGTCTCTCATTACTCTAGCACTATTTTTGAGGTATCCTTGTCAAATGAAATGCAAAAAATCTAAAAGGTTTGAGCTAAATTGTTCTCCTTGCCTAGCACAAATATTTAAAGTGAGAGGAAAATGTCAAGAGATGATACAGAACATTTAGCCAGGGAGAAGGCAGGGGGAAAAGAGAAGCTTTTCTTGGAAGGAGAATTTTTCTTTGAGTTTTTCCAATGGACTTCATTTCTGCTACTTTTGATCTGTTACTTTTAAGTAAGGGACATGAAAAGGTCATGTTCAGTACACCAGTCCTTTACAGGGTAAAAACTAAGTGGAATTTGTTGGGTGGTAAACTTAGTCTTCAGGCCTCTTTCTTTTCAAATCTTAGTAGCCTTGTTGAAATCCTTTTTAGATTTTTAATGAGTTAAAATTCTCTTCTGTTTTTTCTTTCCCCAGCTTGTGTTCAGCTTTAATGACAAACTTTTTGGCCTGTTGGTAAAGGACATGGAAGCTATGGACCCCAGCATTCTCAAAGGAGAGTCTGGAGCAAGCAAAAAGCAAAAGGTAGGCTCACAGGAATTCATGTTCATTCCCTGGGAACTGCAGAGATTCAAGTACTGATCAGATCTTGCTGCAAGGAGGAATTTGGGTTACTTGCATTTGGAGAAGTTGCACCTTTGTTTCATCTGGCTGCATGTTTTGCATCAGGGAAGATAAGGAGCATTGTTTTCAGTTTAATGCAGTATCCTGTGCTTGTGTAGTTGGGAGCTTAGAGTTGCACCCACTAAAGTGCAGAGTTAGGGCTGATACAAGGAATATCTTTTGGTCTTTATGTACTAATTCATGGAAACATCCTCTCTTGAGCATCTTTGTCTTCCAGATATGTCCAATTTTGATTTTTTCCTTCTGTGCAAAGGACATGATTTTATTTTCTTCTTTACTTGCTAGATCTTGCTGAAATAAAATAGTTGGTTTTGAACTAAACAAATAACTTTAAAAAGCAAATTAATTATACCTGATGAGTGTCTGCATTGAATGCTGTTAGTTTTAGAGGAGGTGTTGGTATTTCACATTCTTCCAAATGATGCTCGTAGTGGATCTTTTGCTGCTGTTCTTGCCTTCTGAGATGTGTTTGGAGCAATCTAAGTTGAGCCTAATGACTTGATGTAATTATTTTTTTCCCTCTCTTTTGCAGATTGAGGTTGGTTTGGTTCTTGGAAACAGTCAAGTTGCCTTTGAGAAAGCTGAGAACTCCTCTCTCAATCTGATCGGTAAGTGCCACTATATCCAAAGAGATAAATAATGCTTGAAGTTTGCTGTTTTTCTGGCCCCAGAGACTCATATTTCTCAAAGATTAATTTTTTTTCTTTTTTTCTTTTTTCCTGGTTACATCTGTTGACCTAATCCATTGAAAACTGCATCTCAAAATTTGTCCCAGGTACCTGTAAACTAGCAGGTGACTGTATTTGATCCCTTAGGAACCTGTCACACGCTTTAGAAAGCAGTTTGTAGATACTCAGCACTCTTTTGAAAACCTCTGCACTGAGAAGACACCATCCCTCCGGCAGACTTTGCTGCTTCTAAACAGGGGCTCTGTGAAAGTCACTGTCCTCCCAGCATGAAGCTCCACAGCTGACCAACATACTGCAGCAGTTCTGTGGGTCTCTGTAGTATGCTTACCACCGCAATGTATCTAAAATACAGAGACAGAGATAGGAGGAGAAAAGGTGCGTGTGACTTGGGAAATTCTGACAACAGCAAATTGAGTTAGATGAGTAGAGAAGTTAACCTGCACTCCTAGGCCCAGGTTAGAAAGGTACATTGGACCAGTAGATCCAGCAAAAGACAGCAGCTAGGTGAAATATTTAACACATTAAACATCAGAGAATGATATTTTCAGGGACACTAACAAGCCAACACCTCTTTAATTAATTAAAACAGCAGGGAAATAGGAAATTGAAAACTTTTTTGAATGTGAGGCTGAAATTTCAAAGTGAGTACAAAACTTATGAAAGTCCCATCTCTAATGAGATCTCTCCTTCAAGGAGAGAGGACAGCTTCTGAAAAGGAGTTCAATTTTCTTGACTTCTGAAAATCCCGCTCTTCAGAAACTGATGACAACTGCAAAACACAGCACAGGGGGTTCATTGTGTGTTTTAACTGTTTACACAGCAAGACTATTAACAAAAGTATGAACTTTTTTTAAAGAGACAGTTTCTAAAATCTTCAGGTAAACAAATTTTTATGCACTATTTCAGACTTGACTAGCAAAAAAATCAGGGAATAATTCATGTGTCCTCTGCACATTCATTTAGAAAGAAACTGGTGTAGGGCTAGGGAGGAATTGGGTGTGTTCCCATAGAGCCACCAGTTTGAATGATGGGGACCTGGACCACAAAGTGCCCAGTGAGGGCACCTTCCCTACGCTTGGCTTGTGTGTGCACTGGGACCGTGGTGGCTGTCCTGCAGAACAGATACACACTCTGTTAGTCTGGCTGCTCCTTTTCTTACCAGTGTGTCCTTTTGGCTGGGATAGAGTCAGTTTTTTTCCTAATAACTGGTATAGTGCTGTGTCTTTTGGATTTAGTAAGAGAATAATGTTGATACCACACGGATGGTTTAGTTGTTGTTCAGTAGAGTTTACCCGAAGTCAAAGACTTTTCAGTTTCCCATGCT